TATGTGGTACATTCCTTGTTCCGGTCCTATTCCACCCCCCACCTATAACTGTTTGTCCAGTATAACTATGATATCATCGGTGCTGCTTCACTCTCTCATTTGGAATTGAAAAAGTTTATCAAGTTTGCTTCCAATTTCCATCCTGTTCTCACCTTCACCTGATGCATCTCTGACTCGTCCCTTCCTTTCCTCGACATCTGTTTCTATTTCTGGGGATAGATTGGCCACTAATATCTACTACAAACCCACTGACTCCCACAGCTACTTTGACTGTACATCCTTACACTCTGCTTCCTGTAACAATGCTATTCCTTTCTGCTAGCTCCTCCATCTTCATTGCATCTGTACCAATGATACCAACTTCAACAAGGGAGCCTCCAAAATGTCCACCTTCTTCCTCAGCCAAGGATTCCCCAGCACCGTAGTTGACAGGGACCGCAGCCTGGTCCGGCCCATCTCCCATACTTCGGCCCCCACCCCCTCTCTTACCTCCCACAACAGCAATTGAGTTCCCCTTGTCCTCACCTATGATCGCACCAGCATCCACATCCAGAGGATAATTAGTCATCATTTCTGTGACCTCCAGCAGGAAGCGACCACCAGACGCATGTTCCCCTCCCCTCTCCTCCCTTGTCAGCCTTCCACAGGGACCATTCCAACTGGGACACCCTGGCCCACTCCAAAGACCTCCCCACACCCCATGGCATCTTCCTGTGCCATTGCAGAAGGTATAACACCTGTCTGTTTACTTCCTCCCTCCTCACTATCCAAGGCCCTAAACACACCTTCACAGAAGCCAACCTTCTATCCATGTGATAGATATGTGCAGCATAAGTAGTTCCACTATCTACAGATTGGGTCAAAGGCCACATCAAATCATGAATGGTGATGGACATTTAAACATGTTAAAACAGGAAGAATCTCTACAAATATCCAATTCTCAATGACGCAGAAGTGCAGTATGTCTTTGCAAAAACGAAAGCCAAATTACTTGCAACCATTTTCAGCAAGTAGTGACGACCTACTTCGCGATTTCAACCTCCACTTGAGATTGCTAGCATCACAGCTGACAGTCTTCATTTAATTCAGTTCCTTCCATGGGATGTTAAAAAATACTTGAAGGCATTAGACACATCAAAGCTATGGGCCCTGACCTGTGCTCCTGAACTAGCTGCGCCCCAGCCAGGCTGTTCCTGCACACCTGCAAAGTGGGCATCTACCCAAGAAGGTGAAAAATGGCCTATCTATGCCCTGTGTAGAAAATTAATGTCAAATTCAGATGTCCTACTGGGTCCAGGAACTCACTAAAATGCATTTACGGAGAATGAAAAATAATAGTGTTTTAATAACGGTGATTTTTTTGTCATGTTTTATGCAAACATTACTCTCATTAAAGAACTGAGGTTTAGATGTTGGTTAGATAAAGTTCCAGGCATGTTTTTTCTAGTCAAGAGTTTTATTTCAACTCACATAACGCAAGATTCTAACCCAATGATTATTTGTTCCCCATGCCCAGTTGTCAGTCATTTCTCAGAGATAGTAGGAACTGCAGATGCTGGAGAATCTTCTGGGTCTAGGCCCGAAACATCAGCCTTCTTGCTCCTCTGATGCTGCTTGGCCTGCTGTGTTCATCCAGCTCTACACCTTGTTATCTCATCCATTTCTCGCCAGATTAACATGTAACCATGGCCTGTTCCGTGGTTACATTTGGTCCTAGGGATTCTCACCAGACCCTACTGGATGATAACAATTTTGCCCTAGATGTTCCTGACACTGTATGCACCCTATATGTTATGATTCCCAGTCCCTTAATTCTCATGAAGGTTGTTGTAAAATGTATAATTCTTCTTCTTCCAGGTTACTGTGGTCTCCAGTATGCAACAGATTCTATGGCAAGAATTACGTTTTCAGCAACACAAGCTCTGAAATTGAATCTGAAGTTGGATCCACACATTCAAAAAAATCCATGGAGATGAACTCTGCTGTACCACAGCAATATGCATTCCTTGAAAGTGAGGCATGGCTCGACTCAAATGAAGATGAACCATTTTTTGATTATGGGCTGTGCTCTAATGTAGTAGATGTGATCTGTAACCCAAAAGCAGATGACTTCAATCCATGTGAAGATATTGTGGGTAAAGATATTCTAAGAGTTATAATTTGGCTAATGAATATTCTTGCTATTATAGGAAATGTCATTGTTCTCATAGTCCTTGTAACCAGTCGATATAAACTCACAGTTCCACGATTTCTCATGTGTAATCTTGCTTTTTCTGACTTTTGTATGGGTCTTTACTTGTTGCTCATTGCTTCTGTAGATATCCAGACAAAAGGCCAGTACTATAACTATGCTATAGACTGGCAGACTGGAGCTGGGTGTGCATCTGCTGGATTCTTCACTGTTTTTGCTAGCGAGTTGTCAGTGTACACACTTACTACAATCACATTGGAAAGGTGGCATACAATTACTTATGCCATGCAGCTGGACAAAAAACTCCATCTGAGGCATGCCATTGTTATTATGTGTGGTGGTTGGGCATTTTCTTTCATTGTTGCAATTCTGCCTCTTTTAGGGATCAGTAACTACAAGAAGGTTAGCATTTGCCTCCCAATGGACATAAACTCACCATTGTCCCAGGCTTATATTATTTTCATTTTGCTACTGAATGTTATTGCATTTTTGATAATTTGTCTCTGCTATATTAAAATCTACCTTACAGTTAGAAACCCCAACTTCATCTCTACAAATGGTGATACAAAAATTGCTAAACGTATGGCTGTACTGATCTTCACTGACTTTATATGCATGTCGCCAATATCTTTCTTTGCTATTTCTGCAGCTCTGAAGGTCCCTTTTATCACTGTGTCTAGTTCCAAGATACTTCTGGTTTTGTTTTACCCAATCAATTCTTGTGCCAATCCTTTTCTGTATGCATTTTTTACAAAGACTTTTCGTCGAGATTTCTATATTCTTTTGAGCAGGTTTGGCTACTGTGAAATGAAAGCACAGCTCTACAGGACAGAAACAACATCGTCAATTCAAAATTCCAATGTGAGAAATGGCGCTTTGGCCTCAGCATCACACTTTGGCCAAGGCACAGTATACACAGAGCTTCTGGCAGCTACTAATCGCCAACAGTGTGGAGCTCACAACCTCAATTCTGAAGAGTCCCGCCAAACACTTACAGGAATCTATGCTATTAACTGATTGTGCATAAGCTTTCCTGAAGTAAATTTGTTTTGCTCATCTTGCAAGGAAGTAACCTTTCCCTGGAGATCTCTGATGTCTTCTTGTTAAATTACCGAGAACTTGGTGTCTATTGTCAAGTATACCAGGATCAAACTTTAGGTTCCAGCATTGCAACTGAGCAGTCACCTCTAATTTACAGACTAATCTTACAGAGAATGAATCAGTGTTTATACAGCATGGGATTAGAATAACCTAAATGCGGGCTGTAGATATATGATTCAAGTAATTTGCAAAGACCCATTTTGTGCAAGAAACTAATAATGCCATATCAGAAAGCACTTGAGTTACATTGTCCGTATAAGACTTACTTTAAGTTTACCAGAATTTATTGCTATTTATGCATTTTAGTGTAAGTAGTAATGTTATTCTACTCTGGATTTCTTGTATTTGATAGGGAAAATTTGCTCCTGATTTCAAGCCATATGTATGATTCCAAGAACTTGAATGTTTAAAACATATGGAGCAGTAAAATCTGTTGCAGTGGCCTCATTTTTTGTAAAAAAAAGCTCTCAAGTGACTAGCTAATGTTGTATGCTGAATTAATGATTCATGCCATACGCTGAGGTAGATAATCGTGCTTATTCATAAGGGTGGTCATTGTCGTGTTTCATTGTAAAAATCTCCATGTCAGGATATTTCTGTTACTAATACATTAAATGTATTATTGTAATTGATGTTAGGTCACTAGATGAAAGAAGGGAGGAAAGACAAAGACCCTTAGTCCTGACTCTAATGTAGTAAAATCTAGGTGGTAAGATTGAAATGAGGAAGAACGAGGGAGAAACTCAAAGTCAGGTCTGGGTTTTGTTACAATTACAACTATCTCCCAGCCCCTCCCAATTGACATCTACCACAACCAGCGCCACCCAAACACACACACACTCTGCCAAAGTCAAATATTAATGAGGAGCCCAAAGAGAAAAAAGTAGATGAAGAATAACAAGTGTTACCAGCATTTGTTTTTAACTGTAGGGTAAGGTTTATTTTCTGTGCATTATCCAAATATAGAGGATTATTAACTGATGAAAAGATTGGAATGTTTCTAATTACCCAAGAGATTTTGATTTCTGTGGTGATAATAAAGAATCATATTGTCTTTGAATACTTTCATTGTATTATATTATGTGCAATCAGTTTATTAGTATCTTCACATATGGATTTACAGAAGTGTGCATTGGACATGGGGAAGCTGTTGAGTTTCCAAAGACCACTTGTGCTTTGCAATGCTGCACACATTAAAATTGTCGAATTTCAGATTTGAATGACTAGGATACAAAAGTTCTTTAATTGAGTTATGAACCATTCTATTCTTCTCAAGGTCATTATGAGACACGTAAACTCTAATATGTTGCACCTCAGTATTGGCCCTTTATTATTACTTGTTAATATTTCTAGCTGACGGTGTGAAACTCATTATTAAATGAGTTTCTTGTATACAGAAAATTTGCTCCTGATTTCAAGCCATATGTATGACTCCAAGAACTTGAATGTTTAAAACATATGGAGCAGTAAAATCTGTTGCAATTTTACATGTTACATGTTACAATTTATGAACAATTCAGTCCTGTTACTGCGTTAAGATCCCAGCATATCACAGTTGCCTAATATAACTGATTCTCTCTTAGCAATGCAAAACTCCTTAACTCTGTCAACTTTGTTTTCCAACTGCAATCCTGAAAACCAGAACTTATTGTCATTGAATCGCTGCTTCCCAATTTACTTGCTCTTCTCTTTTACGCACTTTAAACTTGACGAAGTTCTGCCTTGTGGGCCTTGACGTTTCACTTTGCCTTCCCAGTTTAAATACCTCTGCTACACAATTTATTTTGGAAAGGTAGAAATTGAGAAAAACTGAACACAACAACAAAGTTATTACAATGCAGAAGGATGCCAGTTGGCCTATTGTGTTTGGTCCGACTCTCCAAATTAGTGTGTCACTAAGTACCATTCTCCTGCCTTCTCCCCATATCATTGCATATTCTACCTTTTCAAATAACTATCCAACTGATTTTTGAACACCTCAATTGAACCTACCTCTGTCACACTGTTTGACAGTGCATTCCAGTGCTTAACCACTCAGTATTTGAAGAAAAGGTTTTCTCTCGTATCAAGTTTCTTCTTTTACTAACTACTTTCAATCTGTGCTCTCTTCTCTTTTTTTAAGGTGGTGTGACTCTGTTTAGGAAACGGGTACATGCAGTGACATTGTCTAACTAAAAGCATTGAGTGAATGCAGATGGCTGTCAGAAATAAATCATGCGCAGCTAAGTGCATTGAATAAGTGGAAACAGGGTGAGCTTTCACTGAGATTTGAACATTTGTAGGGTTGTTGTTGACAGTAAAAAGGTTAAATCTTTATTTCTGATGTTTCTAATAAAACTATTTCAAACAAAATGAATCAGAAAGTAGCTTTCACCTATCTTTTTGAGTTGAAACAGGCACAAAGCATGTTCATCATATTTCTGTTCTGTGGATCAACACAGATGTGCAAGAAAACTTTTCCATGCAGTTGAAGATTCAAACATGGCATAGCACAGCATCATTCAAATATTGGAAACTATGCAAGGACTAGAAGATTAGGTGTCGTTCCATTGAAGATATGTTTTTCAGGGAATCCACCAGAGCTGTTTGTAAGAATTGGGTCTAACAGGGATCGCATGGCAGCACCCATTTATTTGGATTTACATAGTGTTACTAAAACTGAACTCAACTATGTAAATTGCTGAGTTCACAAGTTATATGATAATTATGAATGCAGCCTAAATATATTTTCCTTTAAAATGATATTCTTCAGAATTGTCCTGATGAGTGAAAGATGAAAAACCTTTCCAGGAGGAATGAATATTAATTGTTGGATAGAGCTTACAAACTGGTCGAATTATATATAGTTGGATTAAAGAGTGACTTAGCCAGTAGAGAAGTTGTAGTCTGTGCAGTACATCTTGAGAAAAGGGATTTTTTTTATCTTGAGGAATGACACAGGTAGTTCAAAAATATTGGCTCCACATATTGGAACAGCAATGGAATTAAAAGAAACTGAGATGCTACAGGTGGAATAGCATGGATCATTCACTGACATTGTTTTGACTAGAATTCAGGCCCTTAGAATTAGAAATGAAGAAGACTAGTCAATGCAATAAGGAGCAGGTATGGAAAATAAGTTACCCGAGATTTTGTACATGTAAATATTATTATTTAAAACACAAAGGGTTAATGAGGAAATAACGACTACTTCAGATAGCAGTTGATGAGGAATGAGCAGTTGTTCATCAGTTGGCAGTTCTGAATATTGTAATGAAATTTTGCAATAGACTGAAGAAATCCAGCATGGAACACAGATGTCAATGCATGGGAGACCATTATTCAAAAGAAATCTGGTCAGAGACAAAAAAAATACTGCAGATGCTGGAATCCAAGGTAGACAAACAGGAGGCTGGAGAAAACACAGCAGGCTGGACAGCATCTGGAGTAAAGGAGCAGTCAACGTTTACTATTATTACCCTTCTTCAGGACTGGATGTGGGAGTAGGGGGAGCTGCAGATGGGGAGGGGGGAGAGGGGGTTGAGACGGAATGGTGGTGATAGGTGGACACTGGTGGTAGGTACAACCTGGTTGTTTGATAGGAGGGATGAATCCAGTTGGTGGCTGGAAGGGAGGGTCAGAAGGTGGAATGGAAGGGAGGAGGTGGGGCTGGAAGGGGAGGCGGAAGATGGATGGGAAGGTTTTTCACATTGGAGAACTCAATGCTGAATCCTCCGGGCTGTAGGGTGCTCAGGCGGAAGATAAGGTGTTGTTCTTCAAATTAGCGTTCTGAGTTGCTATGACACTGGGAGAGGCTGAGGACAGTCATGTCGGAGGGGGAGTGGGGTGGGGAGTTGAAATGGGTGGTGACCGGAAGGCTAGGTTGGCTGTTACAGGCCAGGCAAAGATGTTTGGTGAAACGGTCACCTAGTCTACGTTTGGTCTCACCGATGTAGAGAAGACCACATCGGGAGCATCAGAATCAATAGGCTAGGTTGGAGGAGATGCAGGTGAAGCTCTGTCTCACTTGGAAGGGCTGTTTAGGGCCATGGATGGAGGTGAGGGAGCTAGTGTGTGGGGTGTTGCACCCTTTACAGTTACAGGGGAAGGTACCGAGTGGATTGGAGTTTTTGTTGGGGAGTGTGACGCGAGTGATGAAGGCAATGGTCCTTGCGGAAGGCAGAGAGGGGTGGGGAGGGGAAGATGTTCCAGATGATGGGGTCTAATTGGCGTTGGTGGAAATGTATGTTGGATGCAGAGGCTGGCGGGTGGAAAATGAGGACAAGGGGGACCCTATGTTTATTATATTTGGCAGGGGGCTGGTGGTTAAGAGCTGACCCATCCAGTACACCCCTCACCAATACCCTCCTCCACCTCGTCAAACTACTCCTCACCCTCAATAATTTTTCCTTCAATTCTTCAAAGTTTCTCCAAATCTAGGGGGTTGCCATGGGCAATTGCCATGGCCCAAGCCATGCCTGCCTCTGTCATTTATGTCGAAGAGTCCCTGTTCAGTATGTACACCGGTGATGTTCCCCAACTCTTCCGCTGTTACATCGATGACTGCTTCGGTGCTGCGTCCTGCACTCAGGCTGAACTGGAGCAGTTCATCAATTTCGCTAACAACTTCCACCCTGCCCTCAAATTCACTTGGTCTATCTGAGACACCTCCCTCCCCTTTATTGACCTCTCCATTTCAGTTTCTGGCGACAGCTTACGTACCGACATTTACTATAAACCCATAGACTCCCACATGAGACTACATGAGACTACACCTCCTCCCACCCTGTATCCTGCAAAAACTCCATCCCATTTTCCCAGTTCCTCAGTCTCCATCGCATCTGTTCTGACGAGGAGACATTCCACTCCCAAACATCCCGGATGTCCGTCTTTTTCAATCAATGCTCTTTTTTCCCCTCTGTCATCCAAACAGCCCTCCACTGTGCCTCCTCCATTCCCTGCTCCACAGCTCCAAACCACAACCCCCTTCTAAACATAATAAAGATATGGTCCCCCTTGTCCTCACTTTTCACCCCACTAGCCTCCGCATCCAACATATCATCCTCAAACTCTTCCGCCAACTTCAGTTAGACCCCATCACCCAGAACATCTTCCAATCCCTACCCCTCTCTGCCTTCCGCAAGGACCATTCCCTTCACCACTCCTTAGTTCAAGGCACATTTCCCACCAACCACTTCAAACCCCTGGTACCTTCCCCTGTAACTGTAAAAGATGTAACACCTGCCCACACACCACCTCCCTCACCTCCATCCAGGGCCCTAAACACCCCTTCCAGGTGAGACAGAGCTTTAGTGCATCTCCTCCAACCTAGTCTATTGCATCCAGTGCTCCTGATGTGGTCTTCTCTACGTCAGTGAGACCAAACGTAGACTTGGTGACCACTTCACCGAGCACCTCTGCCTGGCCTATAACGGCCAACCTAACCTCCCCGTCACCGCCCATTTCAACTCCCCATCCCCCACTCCCCCTCCGACATGTCCATCCTCAGCCTCTTCCAGTGTCACAGCACTCAGAATGCACATTTGAAGAACAACACCTTATCTTACACCTGGGCACACTACAGCCCAGATGACTCAACATTGAGTTCTCCAATTTCAAATAACCTTCCCACCCATTCCCCGCCTCCACTTCCAGTCCCACCTCCTTCTTTCCATTCAACCTTCTGACCCTCCCTTCCAGCCACCAACCGGATTCATCTCTCCCATTGACCAACCAGGTCGTACCTGCCACCAGAGTCCACCATTCTGCCTCGACCCCCTCTCCACCCCCCTCCCCCCCCCCCCCACCATCTGCAGCTCTCCCTATCCCCACATCCAGTCCTGAAGAAGGGTAATACCCGAAACGTTGACTGCTCCTTTCCTCCAGATGCTGCCTGGCCTGCTGTGTTCTTCCAGCCTCCTGTTTGTTTACATTCAAAAGAAACTGACTTGGTGGAAGCTCCATGTGAAGGGATATAATTGTTTGAGAATATCCTTCTGTATGAGGAA